GAGCTGCTCTCCAGCAGGTCCCCCCCAGCCTCTGCTGGTGCATGGGGAACTTGGGAGGATGTTCAGCTTGGCTGGGTTTTGTAAGGTTTCTTCATTTTGTTTGTTTTGGTTGATTTCTGTATTGCGTAGTTAGCTTTGGATACTATATTTAAATAGTAGTGCCTGAAATAATTAATCTTCAGCTTGGTTCCTGATTTGCTGCAAGCAATTAAATCCTTCTGTTCATGAAGATGCAGAGGTCTAAAAGCGCGAGTTTCAGGGGGTCTCGTTCAGGGTGACATTACAACGAGCCTATTTGGTTTAATAACTCTTCTCGTCTGTACAAGAAAATGAGGTTGAGACTTGGCAAAGGTGTTGCAGAACGATGTTTTTTTCCCAGTCTGTGTAAAGCTTTTGTGTCAGTAAGGTCAAAGTTGTCTTCCAGGTGTAGTTTGAGTGACTCTTGCTCAGTGGGATGCCCCAGTGTGCTTCACCAGTGTTGTCTTGATTCTTGGAAGTAGAGGAGGCTTACTATTTTGGGATAAAGTAATTCTATTTTATTTATGGTCTCTCTCAAATGCCACTTCATAGTCTTTCTTACTTAAGGTCCAGTATAAAAATGCAGTTTTGCAGCTGGGCAAATGGGCATACTGCTTGTCTCTGCAATTTTGCCATGCTTATCGCTGGTGCTACGTAGATCAACAACAGAGAATAACACTCCCTGTTCCAAGCTGCAAGAGCGGCAGCCTTTAAATCCTGTGGAGACTCAGGCTTGACCCCGTTCAGCTCAGCTTCTAAGATTCTGCTTCTGAATGGCAGCGATCTTTCAAGTGGGGGTGAGTGGGGATGGTGCCAGCACCTCGATGGGTGGCAGATGGGAGGCAGTTGTGGCAGGAGCAGTAAGTGATGCCCTGCAGAGAGAGCCATGGTATCTGCTCCCTCATCTTTCCTTACTGGGAGATCCCTACGGTAGGCAGGTAAGAGATCTTCACTTTTGACATCTTAAGAGCACTGCAGGATGAGAGAGATGACGACACTCAGGGAAACCTGTTACTAGTTAGAAGAAAAAAAAGGGGGGGGGGGGTGGGATTTGTTTTGTTTTGTTTTTTTGAGGTTATCATTATTGCTTTTTGAGACTCGCTCATTCCCTTGAGGCTTATGCTGGGTGGAAGATCAAGATAATTTTTGTCATCTAGACAATGTTTGCTGCTCACAAGGTTAAATGCATCGGCAGTAAATTTTTCTGGGTCCAGATGGCAAGCATGCAAAATCCATGACTGGTTTAGGAAGTAGCTGAGGAGCTGGGTAGTAGCTGTGGGGTGCAAGGAAGGGTGTGCTTGGTCTGACAAAGCAATGAAGCCTGGTTCTACAAGGCAGTAATGCAGAGGCTGCGCTTCCAGCTGCTTTGTTAATCTGGTCAGCAGACTAACTTGGATGGGGAGGAAGCGGAAGAGTTTAGTGACTCGGAAGCATTATAGGTATAGTGTTTTGGTGAGCTGGAACAGCAGTGTGCAGGTGTTACGCTGAGTGGGTGTCAAGCAGAAGTAAAAGATAAGATTTGCTACCTGTGACCATACAGGAGTGTGGTTTTGAATACTTCAGCAGGCATTTTCAAATCAGCTGCTGCTGTAATACAAGAGGAGTAGGTGCTTGGAAGGAAAAAGAATATGTGCTTGCAGACAGCCCAAGTAGCCTTCTATGAATTTGAATCCATAAAATTCAAGTACCTGGACTTGCAGAATTTACAAAAATATAGGACAGAATCACAAAATGGTCGGAGTTGGAAGGGACCTCTGTGGGTCACCTAGTCCAACGCCCCTGCCGAAGCAGGGTCACCTACAGCAGGCTGCACAGGACCTCCACTGGTAACTTGTCAGGAATCTTATGGTTGTAATTAAATGGCATAAAATGCTGCAGGTATCGGCCTCTCTCCTTTAATGTGGTAACGTAGTCTAGAGATGCTGTGGATTCCAGCAAGCAATGCTCTATCTGAGGTAGAAAAAGCAATTTGAGTACGAATGGGGCTTTTCGTGCTAGAGCCTGCAGTTTCTCTCTGCCTCACCACAGAACAGGGGAAGCGGCCCCCCAGCCACATCATCAAACTCCCATGGGCACCGACTACTCTGAAGAGAATCGGCATTGCTAAACCCGGCTTGCTGCCTGCCGCTAAGCACGCAGCTGAGATGGAGAAAGGGAGCGAGCCAGCCAAGTCAGAGTTTGCTCACCTCTGACATGAGATTTGCAACCGCTGGAGGAGAAAGGGCTTTCAGGCCTTCTGCTAAGTCTGAAGCAGAGCCGTCGGAGGGATGGGAGATGTCATGTCAGCCAAGAGAGCCGCGCAGGACGCGCCGACGGCTGCTGGTCGCCGGCAGCCCTGGGGAGCTGGGTTTCCTCTCGGGGCGGGAAGCGCTCCTGCTGCAGGAAACGGCCCAGTTGGCCACGATAAAAGTTAAAGGGGCTGCTCGCAAACAAAAGGGCGTTGCGTTGAATTGGGTGTGCAGAGATTGTCCGTGGATGAGCGCTGCTGACTCAGGACTGAGGAACCAACAGTGTCTGCCTGGCAGCCCTGGGGAAGGGTGATCTCCGGCTACTCCACGGGCGCTCCCCAAGCCGTGGTTTTCTCACTCTCTCAGCAAGACCCCGGCTCATCAGGCAAGGACGCTTTTTTGTGCTGAGATTTGCCGAGACTTGTGCAATCGGTAGCCTTTGAGTGTCGAGAGGTGCTACTTGAGTAGACTTTCAGAGACTCTTGCCCTCCGTTGGGAGATTCCTTTAGCACAGCTCTCGGAACAGTCCAGTCTTTAAACGTGAAAGCCTTTACTTGTTGACTATCTGCCCTGGTATTTGAATTGGAGAATTACAGGATAAAAAGGTTTGCAGTGCCATCCTCTCTGTGATTATTCATCTTCTCCTGCCTCAAAATAGATCCTCTGACCTAAATAAGCTGCATGCGTTTGCTGTTCTTGAAGGGTGAGGATGTGAAAGCATCCTGATGGAGCTTGCGTGGAGAAGTAGATATTGCGGCTTTGCTGGGTTTCTGTTCATGTGTGGGGCTAAGAAGGAATGTCGAGCGGACAGCTTGTCAAATGTGCTTTGTCTTCCCATCTCCTGCCTCTTGTTTAAGACATCTGTGTTTCTTCTTTTCTGCTGTGACATTCACTTCCAATAATGACCACACCAAAAGAGCAGATGCCAGGATCTGTTTCAACATCTTAGCCAGAAGTTTAGTAGCGAGCGGATAGGGAATAAGCGTATGTTTTTAGCAAGTGGAAAAAATGTCATGAAATACTTCTCTTTTTTTTCCCCTGTTTGTGTACAGTCCCAGGTTAAGGTGCCTTCTGGAGTGAGCACGAGGCTACCCAAAATGAAGATATCTCGCCATCTCTTTCAGCATTAACTTAGATGTAGTAAATGCACTAGCAATGTTTGGTTTGTGTCTCAGAGTTGCACAAAAGATGCCACGTCTAACGTAACTTCTTCTGTAGTAACAGCCGCCTGTTTTCCTCACGGTGGTTCCTGTATTTGTTGAACAGATAAACATACTTTCCTTTCTTGTTTCTTTTTCTCCTCCCTGACCAGGAGGAAGAGGACGACAGCGCAGGCACAGAAATGAAGATCCTGAGAGGACACTGTGGGCCTGTGTACAGCACGAGGTTCCTGTCAGACAGTTCGGGACTCTTATCTTGTTCTGAGGACATGTCCATCAGGTACTGGGACCTCGGAAGCTTTACAAACACTGTGTTGTACCAAGGACATGCCTATCCTGTCTGGGATCTGGATATCAGCCCCTGCAGCCTGTACTTTGCCAGCGGTTCCCACGATCGCACTGCGAGGCTCTGGTCGTTTGATCGGACGTACCCGCTGCGAATATACGCAGGCCATTTGGCGGACGTTGACTGTGTCAAGTTCCACCCCAATTCCAACTACTTGGCGACGGGCTCCACGGACAAAACCGTGCGCTTGTGGAGCACCCAGCAAGGCAACTCGGTGCGTCTCTTCACCGGGCACCGCGGCCCCGTGCTAGCGCTTGCGTTTTCTCCCAACGGTAAGTACCTGGCGTCGGCAGGTGAAGACCAGCGGCTAAAGCTGTGGGACTTGGCGTCAGGAACTCTTTACAAAGAACTGAGGGGGCACACGGACAACATAACCAGCCTTACTTTTAGCCCCGACAGTAGTTTGATTGCTTCGGCGTCGATGGACAATTCGGTCCGGGTCTGGGACATTCGGAACACTTACTGCAACGCCCCTGCAGATGGGTCTTCCAGTGAACTGGTTGGTGTATATACCGGACAAATGAATAATGTACTGAGCGTACAGTTTATGGCCTGTAATCTTCTTCTAGTGACTGGAATTGCACAAGAAAGTCAGGAACATTAATTTTTTTTTTTGTCTTAGGGAAGTGGGTGGGTGTATTGAATGCCAGAGTCCATTGCAAGCTGAGATTACTGACTGTAAAACACACTTCTTCCTCTGCCCCCTTGAAAGGCATGTTCAGAGTGATGCAGACGCTTTAAAATGTCTTGGCCACAAAAAGGCCTGTGCTGTTGAATGGAGTAAGGAAAAAAGGAGGAGTGATAAAACTGTGTATACATTGTGATCTCGTAGGGATGGAGAAAAGGGGAGGAAATTCAGTAGCTGGGGGAAATCTGAAAGCCTGGTCCAGACAAGTGAAACTGCCAACCAGATAAGCTGCTGACCTGCACTTAAATATCCTGCATTGATTGATGGGCACATCTTACCTACTGTTAACTGAGGCTTGAGCGTGTGGAGAACTACTGGCCCAGTGGTTTTTGTTTTTTGTTTTCCTGGTATTGCAGAGGAACGCATTTTTAAGACCCTGCTATTAAAAGAATATTATGTCTTTTCTACAGTGATAGTGGTCCTAAATATTACAGCTCCCTGTAGCACTTCTGGAATATTTTGGACTAGCAAAGTAGAAGATACCATCTTTCTTTTTAGTAAGGGTTTGGAAATCTGACCTCAGTTGGGACCCATCTCTGCATTGTCATTTGGGTTTGGTTCCTGGTACTAGCTGTGATGTTTATGTTCCATTAATTAGGAATCTTTCTGAATCTGGTTGCACTGTGTTTTGAGGATGTGGGAGGACAGTGGAGGTAAAGCGGCAGCTTTAAGGGTAATAAACGACTTGCCTTGTCTGGAGGGAGGGCACAATAGAACTGAAGCACTGAGTTTGGACTCCTAATGGAAACAGGGCATGTCAATCCACCGCTGCACCTCGCAGAAAGATTCCCGTAAATGGAAGTTGGCAGGCTAGGGAGAAGGGGACAGGGAGAGAGAGACACACAAAGTGACATGGGAAAAAATAGTATTACTAAATTATTGTGTGTACACAGAGGCAGCTCTGCCAGTGTTGGATTTTTCTCAAAATGTTGCAATATCAGTTTCATGAACACTTTGTGACATAAATCATCAGCATTTACAACAAGGATCTGCGGAAAAAGCACGTTCTAGTTTGTCATTTGGAGAGATTAAATATTTCTGCTTTCTGGAAAGAGTTATTTTGTATTTTGTTTTCTATTAAAAGCATTTAGTTTAAAAAAAAAAAAATGGTTTGGTCCCTTTCTGGGAAACTTGCTCCGACTTGCATGGGAAGGAGAGGGCAGGAGCACGCTGCTTCTGCACTGCTTGAGCCAGAGCCTGCTTGGAGGCTGAATCTGGTGGTCTCAGCCCCTCGGTGCGTGCTGGTTTGATACCTCCCTGCTTGTGTTCCGCTGAGCTGGCTCGGCGGGTCGTTGGGTAGGGTAATGACACGGCTTCGCAGCTGAGATGCACGTGGAGGATCTAAGTACCCCCCGAGGTTGACACTCGGCACCAGAAGGCCTCATTTTGTAGCGCTGCGTGACCTTTACTTTGTGGTTTGATGTTCTAAAACATGTCTTTCGAGCAAAGGCACAATCCTAATGTCTTCTAGACAGGCTGTCGGTATTAAATGATAATTCCCTTCAGCTTCCCTCAGATCTTCTGAACTTTCATGAGAGAATTCTCTTGAGAACATCCAAGCAATCTAAGAGTTTAGATGACAGCTCACAATTGCCTTCTTTTTGTGGTCTACTTAGGTTGGTAAATGACCAAAACCTTTTATCAGAGAAGTGTCTGACCTTTCTGAGATTAGTAACAGCGTGTGCTGCGGCTCAGCTCTGCGAGTACCAGAAAGCCCTCTGTATGCTTGGAGTTGAATGGCACTGCTAATCTTCTGACCGCTGGATATCAAAAGTGTGAAGCCGCTCAACAACCCCAGACCAGGATCAGGCATTTCGGAAGAAAAAGAAACCGGTACGGAAGATGGCTGCATTGCTCATGCTTTGTGCCATGCAGGTCTCTCTACAGAGACCTTCTCCTTCAGATCTATCGAGTTGATGCTGCTCGCCAGACTGAACACATTGTAGTCTTAAACCTGCAGTAATCTTGTGGTGGTTTTGAGTATTTTTGCTCGGTTCTGTAGATTTCAGCCCAAAGATTTCATGGTGAAATGACTGCTCTCGTATCACAGCAAAGTATCGAAGTGCTTGGCAGAACGCCTGTGTGAATCCCTAGGAAGGATATGGCTCGGCAGAGTTCCCTGGAACTCATTTTGCTGTTAGAGGAGTGTTTAGATTTAGAGCAGCTGGGCTTTTGGTCCTGAAGTAGAGCAAACAGCAACCAAAAGGGGAGGGGAAAAAAATAAAGGTGAGATGGGCAGAGAAAAAAGTTTGCCTTTAACATCTTACTTCCCCAGTGGAATTGGGCTTTGTATTAGTTGGGTTATTCAGAAGTACTTTGCATAAAATGTGACAAGTAAGAGTAAAGAGACTTGGGAAGTAAATCCTATTATATGTACATAGGCTAAAAGATGTAAAAGTGATTTCTGAGGTGTTGGAGAAACAGTATCACTAATGATGCGCTTCAAACCTGTAAATTTTATGTACTGTGTGGACAGTTTTTGGTGCTCGTGGCATGTAAATGTTTGAAGGCAGGAAGCCAGGAAATAATCTAGACTATAAGAAATGTCTGCAATTGATTGATGGGCTGAATTTCAAGGCAGAACTGGGAGGAAAGTATGAGTGGGAGGACAGAATACTGTTAAGTCTAGCAAAATTCGGACCATAATCTCTACTAATTGTGTAGTTTAGAAATAAGTCTGCATTTGCACAGACCACTTCCTTATTCTGTATTAAATATTTATTGTAAAAATCACAAAAGCCTTTAATTTGACATAGTTATGCACTCAGTCAGCATTATAGTAGGGACTGTTGCTGCTTGTGAGTCTGTGTGTAACGCACTTCTTGGTCACATAACTGGGTGCTCCTTCCCCTGCAAAGCTCTGCTGGCCTCATGTGTCTTCTGGGCGATGCACAGTGCACCGGGCACGGCGTGGTATCTGCCAGTGGTTAACAGGAGATGCTCGGAGACAGAGGTCATATAGACAGCGATCCTTCCACGGTTTACACACTCCTGTCTTCTCACAGTTACCGTTTGCTGGGTTTTGGGGTTGGGTTGTTTTTTTTCAGTAGACCTCCAGAGGGGCAGGCTATGTATCTGCAATATACATATATAATGCATATATAATGCTGATGGATTTAGTTTCCATTCATTTTGTCTCATCCCTTTTATTAATCAGCTGTATACTTGTACCTTCCACAGTTTGCTGCAGCAAGAAGTTCTACACCGTGATGTTATGAAGGGGAAAAGTATTTCCTTGTTTTTTGACATCCGTTACATGATAATTCCATTCTGTTCCCAAACCTCTTGAATTGCTAAAGGCAGTGAGCAGCAAAACACCCTTTCGAAAAGGTGTCGGGTAGTCCAGGCTGCAGTAAATATTGACTAAGCTGAGATACAAGTCCATGCTTAGTCACTGAATACTGATGAAAGGAAGGGGTATTTGCTCTAATAAACGAACTGCTACACCCATTCGCAGGTCTGTGTTAAAGTTGCCCTTCCCACTTTCAACTCTGGCATCTGAGCAACGTGCTGCCACGCTGTTCAGTCTAAACATCTTAACTTCCCCAACAGTGAAGTTCATCCTGTTCTGGTTCCTATGTGAAAAAGCTGTCTCTTAAAAATGTCTTTTAAGTCTAAAGACATCTTACAGAAGTGATATTTCCATCGACAGATCCTTTGAGTTCGCCAAGGAAAATAAAAAGGACTTCAGGCCGTTTTGCTAACCTTGTTTCAACTGTTGCTGATTTTGTCAGTCCTCCAGGCTCCGTGGGTTCTTCGACAAAGTCCTGAAATGGCCTTCCTTCTGAGTGGTGTCTAGTTGCTCGCGGCGAGCCAGGCTCTAAAACTGTACCGTTACAAGACACCGCTGTGACAGTTAAATTAACTGCCTGGATGTCCCTCGCCAAAGACTATCCCGTCGTGCTGCACGTTAGCGATGGGGTTTTTTTTTAAAAGTGCTGGATAGGAGCCCAAACTGACTGAAATAGCTCAACAATGCTCGCCACACTCAATGTATTCCAAGTACAAAATACTGGTAAAATTTGTCTCCGAACTGGTAATCTTTTTTTAATAATTTTAAACGTGCATCTGGTTTTCTGTTTCCTGGACACTGCTATACAAGAGCACCGAGCAGCAGTTGTACAGAGGAGGTGGTATATTCCAAGTGCCCAGTTTAAGACAAGGCATTATCCACTCTGTCTGTCATCCTGCAGAAATACTCTCTCAGGACGGTGAAATTCTTGAACAAGGCAGCTGTGGGAGCTATTTCTATAACCTGATATCATAGGTGTTAGGCTGCAACTAAAACATCCATCCTGTTTTCAAACAGGAGAAGGGATCAGCTGCGTTACGCTGAGGGTTAGACGAGAAGGCTGCTTCAGAAGATTGCTTTATTGGTAGCCCTGCTTTCCTACCTAGTCCAGATTTTGCAGTTCCATTTAGGATAAAATTATCTGCTCTTTGCAAAGGTTTGTGATCTTCAGTGAAGTCATGGTCCTCTCTTTATGACAAGCCTGATAACAAAAATATTTTAGCATATACAGCTGGAGGATCAGCTAAGGACAGGACTTTGTGGTGGTTGGTGCTGTACAAGCCTATCAGCACGTGGGCAGTGCTCCTCAGGCACCGCCTGAGAAAAGCAAAAAGAAACTCCACCTGAATCCCTCTACCCAGCTGTCAAAGGCAGGAGGTGTACCGGTGTCGCTACCCCCGCTCTGGAGAACGGCACAGGAGGCGGCACAGAAGCTGTGAGCCAGGGCACGAGAGCAGGACCGTGATGGAGTCCACTTCTATTTCTTCGCTATCACCTCTTCCCCCCGCCGAGCAGTGATGCTTCTGTTCACGCCGCTACACGTCATGCAACGCCGCCGACTTTGGTAGGGTAGCAGGGCTGGTCAGGCAGCTGGCTGAAATAATCAAGCTGCCTTCCTTGCTCG